TGAGCGACCTTCCGAGGTTCGATCACGTGAAGGTTTCCCTTTGCGCCGATGATACGGCTCTCCTCGCTTCTTCCATGGGTCGGGCGTTGGCGGTCGTCTACATGCAACGCGCATTGGACGACCTCGAACGCTGGTACCTTGACTGGAAGATTTGAGTGAATCCAGAAAAAACTCAGGCGATAGACTTGGGGAGACGTAAAGTTTCTCCAGACACAAGGGTCGCGATTTCAGGCCGGGAGATCGAATGGCAAACGCGAGTCAAGTACCTAGGTCTATGGGTAGACCGCCGACTCACCTGGGCAAACCACATTGATTATATCAAGAGCAAAGTGCAGATGAGGATAGCTAAACTCTATCCTCTGGTCAATAGAAATTCAAAACTCAATCTTAAAAATAAGATTTCACTATACAACACGATGCTCAAGTCTGTCATCATGTATGCTTCAGGTGCTTGGGGACAAACCGCCCCGTCAAACCTCTCCATTTTGGGAAGGTTGCAAAATAAACTTCTCAGGATGCTGGTGAATGCTCCATGGTTCCTGCGGAATGAAGCCATCCGCAGAGATTTGAAACTGTTAACTATACGGCAGTCCATTCAGTCGAGGAATCAGAGAGTTTTCGAGTAAGCGGAAACTCATGATAACCCATTAGTTAGGGAAGCTGTAGATTACACTATAGACTCGGTTGAGTGAAGGCCCTACGACATCTGTTAAAATGAACAGTTTGTTCATTAAATACCCCAGTCAGGAAGGGGTACACAAAGCCAGAGCGGCATAGAGGTCATTGACCTTTATGTCGCCACCAAAACACCTTACGTTATGAACCATTCGTCTTGACGAATCTCAGATGAAAGGGTTAGTGAAAAAATTTCCAACCTGATGAAAATGAAGATGACTATGATGAAATATTAATTAATAAAAAATATATGTCTGACAGAGACGACATAGAACGACAGAACACAAGATGACTTCGAAATGTGCACAAAGATCGGGAAATTAACTTTAAGAAGTCGAAAGTGGACCTACTCTTAATGTTTGGTACGAACCGTACTTGTACGTCATACAATCACTTTTTTTCACTATAATTGAATGAATAAAACTCAAACAAAGCTTGAAGAGCGTAATTGATAATGTTGATGTATTTTCGGAAATAGTACGTTGCCATGCTTGTCTGAATTTCTTTGAATATTTGCGAATAAAATAACTGCCACAAATTCCAAAATGAAGTTGAAATATTCGAATATCATTGCGAATTGAATGAATCCTGTTATCACATCATGAAATCACAGATCATATATGTAATAATAAGTCATCTTTCATTTAAATTTGCTTCGCATACACAACACAACAAAAAAATATTTTTTGAATGTTTCCTACACTAAATTAGTCAATTTCTACTAATTTTGGGGTGATAAAAACGAAAATAACAATGAAAAATTTTTATTCGCTCTGGTTTTTGAGATACACAGTACTTAATCTTAAAGAGTAGTTANGGTGAGATTTCTATGCGAGCTGCTGCTAAACGATTTGAAATTCCATTTTCCACCTTGCAAGAAAGAATTAAAAAGAAAAAAATGGTTACTCCTACTATGGGCAGAAACACTGTTTTCACCAGGGAGCAGGAGGAAGAAATTCGGAATAATTTATATCACATCGTCTCTGGAAATTATCTAAATTTAGCGTAAAATGAAATTAAAAAAATGTTTGTGAATTTTGTTTTATCATTTTTTCAATTTTCATCAAACAGGTTAGTCCATTCATGATTTAATATTGAATGGTCTTCATTTAAAGCAGTGAAATGTAGGAAAACTCACCCAACCACTCAGCTACTTCCGCTAAAGTTTAAAATACATTATAAAAATGGCATTACATTCAATTATATCTAGGACTCACAGTAATTTTTTTTTCAGGAAATAAACACAAGCACAAGTCTTTAAGACGCTCTAAAAGCGGTACCTGTGCGAAACTAGCGATTCACTTTGAATCTCTGAAGATAAAATCCATTTTGAAAATACGATCTCAAGAAGTTTATTTTACATAGAGGCAGTTCTCCAAATGAAAGAATTCTTTAACAGTGAGGTTCGAGATGTACTGAGTTGAACCTTAAAACGGTGAGCAGCCACAGTCCGTCACATATTTCTGATCTGTAACGCTCTTGGTGAAATCGAATATGCCATATAGAAAAGAGACAAATCCCCAACCTTTCTTTGATGTTACAACTGATGTTCGCGTCTACAATCAGGCGGATGGCTCTTTTCTTGATGGAATCCAGCAGCTTCAGGGCATGCTTAGCGGCGTAGCTCCATACATAAGAACAATACTCCAAAGAAAGTTTGATCTGAGCTTTTTAAAGCATCAAAAGCTGTTGAAGTCTGTACAGTTTTCTGGTTCGGAACAGTGTTTCAAGCTTTTGAGAAGCAGCCTTTGCAATTTCAGCGACATGATTGTGTCAAGACATATTGGTGGCCATGTTAACCCACAACAAATTGTTTCTGTCCTGACATTATTATATCCGGTTCGTAGAAATTTTTTTTTAGAGAAAACCGATGCCTGGGGTTTTGTGGCATTGAATTGAACCTGGTTAGTTTCACCCCAATTCGAAATCACTTCTAGATCATCATCAAGGTATGCAACCTCCTGCTGCCGGTTAAGATGAGCATTCGCCGCTGATGTCCTAGAATCCAAATGGAATGACGAGACAAGTGTGCTGTTGTCAGCAAAGTAATATATTGTATTCTTCGAATTTTCCAATAAGTCGTTGATATACAATAAAAAGAGGGTTGGAGACAATATAGATCTCTGGGAAACACCATCGGTGATGGTAAAAGTATTCGAGAGATATCCATCAAGATCCATAGCACCGAAGTTTGGCCAGCAAACCCTCCTGCCACACACGGTCAAAGGCCTTAGAAATATCAAGCGCAACAGCTCTTGACTCTCCATGTTTCTCGATTGCGTTATTCCAAATATGGGTGGCATAATAGAAGGTCGCCTGTTGATCTTTGTTTCCGAAAGCCATATTGATGATCGCTCAAGACGTTAAAGCCTTCCAAATATTCAAGGATATATTGGTTTATGGCTTTCTCTATGATTTTTGATATCATTGATAGTAAAGCGATTGATCTTTAGTTATTTGGAAGATTTTTCTTGCTCTTTTTGGGAATCTTTCAACAAGAGCAATCACCCAACAAGAAGGAAAAACCCGTTCCTTGTAAGACAGGTGACAGGTGACTGTTAAGTGAGTGACTTTCGATTTATAAGTATATATTTCTGTAATTTTAATCACTTTAGACTTGTCACATGTACATACTCCTAACTCGTTTGGCCAATAAACAATAATTTTTTTACCGAAGGGAAAGCTGGTCGGGCCCTGTCCCCTAAGCTCCAACACATTCGGGAAGGCGCGCCAGCATTAATATAATGGCTAGACAACCA